CTTGTGTCATTTCTTACTTTGTCTGAGCTGGTTTGCCTGTTTGCAATAATTAGGACAGCTGGCTAGAGGTGGAACAGTAAAGCCTTAGTTTTAATGGTCCCTTTTCCACGTTTTGCAATCTTTTTACAAGTCGTCTCAGAAGAAAAGGATTCTGAATGTTTGCACTTTGTGTCTTCTTTATACAGTTTGCTGTAAACATGCTAAAGCTCTGTGAAACAGCTGCAAAACAACTGAGAACAGAAAGGACCGAGATAGGAAAAAAACCCCAATAATCGAGCAATAAAAAAAACGATCTGATTTTTGTTTTAAACTTGGGTCAGCGCTGGGTCAAGCTGCTTTAGCCATCCCTTTGGGCAGCATGAGGTCTTCTGATACTTTTGTACAGATTTGTGAAAGTTGCCAGATTCTTTGTGTTTGCTGCTGGGCTGGATGTGATCACTAGGAAGGCAATGAGCTGTATAATATATGTTGGAATGTCAGCATCTGAACAGGTGTAAAATTACAACTTGTTATCACGGTCCAAGGAGCAGGATTTCTTGGGTTTCGTGGATAGTCACGCTCATCTTTTGGTGAGGCTGCTTTTGGACACTGCTGAAAAACTTTACCTGGTGAACTGGGGCTGCCTCCTTAATTCAGCATGGGAAGCCAGCAAAGAATGCGCTGTCCTTGCTGCCAAAAGGACTGGATGGTCTTTCTCTTCCCAAACACAGCTGGTGTGTTGAATTTATTCTGATTTTTGTAGCTTGGAAACTGTCTACGTGAGACAGCTGGTACCTACCGTGTCCAGGACTTCTGCTGACCAAGCCATGTTCTTACAGTACCAGCCCTAGGAAGGAGTGGTGTGACACTGGGAAATGGGGGAAAAGCAAAAATCCAAGCAGAAGTTTTCTTCAGCTTAACTTCAAAAGCAGAGGTGTTGGGGTCTACCTGCTGAAACTGATTGCTGCTGCTCACAGGAGCTGGCAAAAGCAAAAATCCAAGCAGAAGTTTTCTTCAACTTAACTTCAAAAGCAGAGGTGTTAGGGTCTACCTGCTGAAACTGTCTGATTGCTGCTGCTCACGGGAGCTGGTGCTTGTGCTCGGATGCTGGAGCTGGGGCAGTCCTGGGTGGGGGATGAGGAGGGTTGTACAGCATTCCCTGTGCGGGGGGTATCGTTCCTCTGGAGACAAAGCCTGACCTTTGGTGAGACCTGAATGGAGTGGCTGTGAAAAAGTGAACCCGAATAAATCTGGAGGAGGGATTCCAGGCAGCTGAGAGCACAAGGGGTCAGCCCTGCAGCAGGTCCAGCCTGCAGCCTCAGCCCTGCCTGGCACAGGTTTGGGGGGTGCCCAGTGCTGTGCCAGACTATGCCAGTCCTAAATCCATTAGAGACTTCAGAAAAATGGCCCTTTCTACTTTTTTGTTTGTTTGTTTGTTTGGTGGTCGTTTTTTTGCACTTTAATGCACAATCAAACTCATAACTGTGGGGAACTTTGTGGGGAAGCATGCTGATGTGCCAGGAGGTGTGATATTAGCTTCAATACATGGAGCAGCAAGAGTGATGCAGTTGGGAGCCCATATTTGCTGTGTTTAGATGACTGGAAGGGATGCCCATGGATGTGAAAGAGCTGCAGCCTGTTCCTCCTCTCTTGTGAGATTATATTCTTCCCTTTTTTTCCTTGTAGAGACAAGCTGGATGTGAAAGGGGTCAGCACCTGCTTGTCCTTGCAGGAGAATCAACCTGCAAGAGGCACCAGCCCTTGGACTATAGCTGTATCCAAGGGATAGCTTGCAAAAAAAATGAGTCCCAGATGTCTAGAATGACTTCTGGTATTACTGTCCCCCTTCCTTGCACAGAGTGGAAGGTAACTTCACAGGAACACATCAAAAAAGAAAAGCTCTAGCTTTGGGAGCCTATTTTGAAATGTTTAATTTTTAAAATCATATTAAAATAATTGGGGGGCCCTACAAGCATCAAACAGCCTGCCCATCGCTCTGCCAAATCTACAAGGGTAGTTTTTCTTGCAGTCAGCCACTGCTGGGCTTTTCATAGGAAAAGGTTAACTAAGTGATTTCATGTAAATCTTTCACAGCTTGGATGTATTTATTCTGTTTGCAAAGTCCTTCTGTTGTTGCTGGATTTGTGCCACCAATTTGTGTCAGGGACAGGCAGAGCACAATGACTGGTTTACTTAAATTTGATGGTGTGGCTGCTGGGAAAAAAACCTCAGTTAATGATCAGATTTGGGTAAGTTTTCTTAAAAGTGTCCACTAATGGGCTAACTGTTGGAATTGGGCAAAAGTGAAGCATTTCAGGGGAAAAAAAAATCACATTCAATAGAGGAAAATAACTTTAATGCAGGAAGTTAAGAGAGATGAGAGAGTTTGCTCTAACTTGTCCTGGCTAGCCTGGCCCAGCAGCAATGGTCTTTCCAGAGTCCACTGTGTTCCCTGTAATAGCCATAGAGAGCAAGTAACACAAACCTTGCTTTCCCCAGCCAAAAGCAGTAGTGGTATGAAAAAAAAACAGGATGGGAAGGAAAGGTTAATGTTTGTGGTAGTCTCCCCTACTGAGCATGTCTTATAACCTGCGTAGGGAACGGGCAGACAGAAAACCCCTCTACTGGTACTCAGACAAGGATTTTTATTTTGTAATATTCACTCTGAAAATAAAAAAAAAATATCCTTTGGGCAACGCTGAAATCATGTTCTCACTGCTAGGCTAAAGCTAGAAGTAAACGTGTAGTGTTGTATGATGGGAATCTCTGGGGCTACAACATAGGAGTAGAAAACAGAGTGAATTTGCTCTATTTCTGAAGGCACTCGGTGGCATGTGGTTGGAGGGCACAAGCCTAACTTGGCAACACCTAGGAGAGATGCTGGAGCAGCTCTGCTGTGAGGACAGGCTGAGAGAGTTGGGGCTGTTCAGCCTGGAGAAGGCTCTGGGGAGACCTTCTAGTGGCCTCCCAGTACCTGAAGGGGCTCCAGGAAGGCTGGGGAGGGACTTTGTCCAAGGGCAGGGAGTGAGAGAACAAGGGGTGATGGCTTTAAGCTGGAAGAGGGGAGGTTTAGATTAGATACTAGGAAGAAGTTCTTCACTGTGAGGGTGGTGAGCCAGTGTCCCAGGTTGGCCAGAGAAGCTGTGGCTGCTCCTCCCTGGAAGTGTTTGTGGCCAGGTTGGATGAGGCTTTGAGCAACCTGGTCTAGTGGAAGGTGTCTCTGCTGCTGGCAGGGGGGTTGGAACTGGATGAGCTTTAAGGTCCCTCCCAATCCAAACCATTCTATGACATGATTCTATGAACACAGCCTGGAGAGGACTTGGAAGGAGGGTGCTGGATAAAGGCACCTACTTGCCAGCCCCCACCTGGCTGCTTCTCTGCCTTCCTGTCCTCCTTCTGCTAGTCTCAGTGCAGATGACCACACACTTTTTCTAGCTTCATGTCAAAGCTTGTGGTAGATCAATAACACAATTTCACTGATTTTTACAAAGCCCTTTATTTTTTTTTTTGTCTTAAGGCTTATAAAAACTGTTACTCAAAACCAAAATGTTTAAAACTTTACATATGTACAATATGAGAAATAAATTATGTTTTAAGTCATACAAAAACCACAATATACAAATAGGGCTTTGAAACCACTCTAAGTATGGCAGGGTGACAAGTCACAGATACTTACCAAAGGCTTCAGTTATTGAAGCCTTTGCATAAAATAAAGAAAAAAAAAAAAAATATCTCCATATGTGCTTGCTTTGGTCGTATTGAAGCTCTACAAGAACTCAGAAAATTGCAGACCTCAGAAGGACTTGCTAAGTCTTCAGAACTCAGTGCACCATCTGGCAACACCATTTTTTGAGATTGCCTTTCTGCACGCCAAAAGTTCAAGAGTTGTTACACCAAGTCTCCTTCCAAAAAATAATAATAATAAAAAAAATCTAGTTCACCTCTGACAACGTCCATTCTCCTGCAGCAAACAGGACAGTTGTAGGGTGTCTGTCAGACTCAGAGCAAAGCCACACTCATCCAGCACCAGGGAATCCCACCAGGACGTTATGGCAATGAGGGCAGGATGTCATTTGTTTGGCTCAGTTAAATAATTTGCACAAAAAAAAATAAGGTCTTAATTACACACTGATACTACAACAGCATCTGAACAGAGGCGAACGTATTCTCAGTAGTTGAAAGGAGTGGTGTAAAGCTCTCCTGAAGCAGTATGGTTCATCACCTTCCTCCTCCCCTACAGTCAGTAGAAGGGCAGTTGACGTTTGCCTTTTACAAATAAATCAACACGTGGGACGAGACAGTCTCACTGCAGACAGACTGGGGAGCAAGGAGTAGCTGCCAACACCATCCCCTGACATCTGCACCGAGTTCTGCCCTAGGTACAAGGAGGTCAGAGCACTACCTTCTTCTAAGGTAACAGATAGAGATTTCAGTATCAGCCAGACACATAACAGATTATTTTTAAGGCAAGCAAAAGACAACTTGAAGTGGCATTGTGCTTATTCCCAACCCACCCCTGAATATCCCCATAAAATTGACCTGTAATGGTCTTGACTTCCCACAGCCCATAGTGCTATTGGACCCACCGTAACTCCTACACTAGATGCTAGTTTGTTCTTGGCAGCTCTGTCACCAACAGTCTGATGGGCAGTTAGTGTGGTTATCTTCTCAACTCCCCTGGCAGGCAGACCAGAAGATCATTGCTGAGGTCTAGATCTGTGAAGATCTCATCTGTAGTCCTGGTTAACGGGAGCAGGGCAGGAAATGCAGCTCATAACAAGTCAAGGTAAGGTTAAATGCACAAACCAGGCTCCTTGGGGAAGGGAGAATGTAGTTTTAGTTATTCTAGGACCACAGCCCATCAATTGCTCCTCGGTTTCTTGCATCTGATCCGAGATGTTTTGTCCTAAAGAGCTAGTTGCTTTTAAGTGCTACCAAAACAGATTTTTGACAGAGCACCTTGCCACCTGTATGATCTTCATGCATCTAGGTTGTTCAGTCGTGAGTCTTTAGAGAAGTCTTCAGAGCAGATTTGAGACGGATCTGGAAAAAGCAGAGAGGGGAAAAAAAAAAATGGTTAAATGCAGAAGTTAGGAGGAGTAATAAATAATTCCTTAGAAACTCTGGGACACCAAGAACAGGTTTAGACAGTACAGGTGGACATTTTATTCTGTCGAAGCAGCATTTTGCCCAGTAGCTACTCAGTGAGAGCATGAAGCAGACATTATGCACACAGGTAGGCTGTAAACAGAAATTACAGCTCTTGAGGTTAGACTCTGCCTGTTCAGATCCATTCAGGGTGGACCAATGGTTGCAGACTCAATCTCTGAGTAGGGAACTATAAACTTCCAGTGACCTGGCAGGAATGGAGAGCTGAACAGCAAGTAATTGCTTATGATCTTTGGGAGGAGGGATCACTTCCTAGAAGCCATAGTGCTTTGGAGCTCAGATCTGCTCCTCTGCCTCCTGCAAAAGCTCTGCTCCACAAGTAAGCAGGAAGGGCACATCTGCCAGCAATTCTGTTTTATGGGGGTTACTGAGTACCATATCAAAATAACCTTTTATTGTACCTGCAGGAATATTTACTTGATCCTTCAAGACTCATGGCAGAGCAACAAGTTTTTGCACAGAGGTTTCATTCACAGAATTGTTTGCTACTGTACGTAGCACATCTTGCTGGTTTCTGCCAAACCTGGAACGGTACCAGCTCACATTTCTGAGCTGAACTCTGCTGCCCAAGAAGGTTGTGCAAAGCACAACTTCCACAGGGCTTTGCTAGCCCTAACAAGCACTTTGTCTCCGGATTAGAAGTGACAAAGCTCTTAAGTTTACAAATTGAAATTTAAGAGAGGCCAAGAGGCTGGGCTTCATCTGAAGGAGATGATCAGTTAGTCAAATGAACAGGGATTCATTCAAAACAGGACCAGAGGCATTCTGAAGGAATCAAGGTGTCACTGCTGGGATCAGACTTACTGGAAGACATGTTCTGAGGACTGATCCTAGGTGTCTGGAAAGTCCCCCAGAGGTTAAGCAGGGCTGAGATACTCTGGCAATGGCTGAGTTTGCACTCCGCTGAACCAGAATTGATTAGCATAGCTGGAGATGATGTGGCAGGAGTCAGTACCATAACACCACAGCAAGTCCTCAGCTGTGTGTTGCTCATGCAGTTGAGCTCAAATGTTAATCAAGGGATTCCTTGGCAGTTCAAAAATCTTCTATCAGGCTGAAACAATCTTTGAGGCAACCCCTGCACTCCCAGCTTTCCTCTGTTTTACAGGGCAGTTAATAGATGCCTCTAATTAGCTCTCCACTATTGCACAGCACCTCATTTTTTGCACCTACCATGATAGCAAGCAGACAGGTTCTTTAGGCCCAAGGAACATGTTATAACAATTTGGCAGTAAGTATGTAAAGGTATAAGATGACAAACCAAGATGAGAAGTGAGGATGGTATCACCTAGTTAGTCATAGTCAAGGCACAAATGAAAATTAAGTCTAATAGCTGGGAATCTTGGGCTAGAGTTCATTAACTTTTTTTTATTATCTTTAAAGAAAAAGAGGTTCCAAGAGTGTAAAAGAAAAAAAAAAACAAATTATTCCACTCATCCCAGCACACCCATATGCATCAGACAGGATTTCTCTAGCTGATTTTCCCTACCTTTTGTGCCACTCCTCTGCACACTTCACAAACCAGAGCTCTTTACCAGGAGATATACTGGTCAGCTGGGAATCCTCCACACAGAAAGCAAACCTAGGAGGAGGAATCAGAAGTCAAGAGAAGGTACCTGCTGTCTCCATGATTAACAAATAACATGTAATATGGTTGCAGCTAATTATAGGACAAGTTGTTTCATTTGACATCCTTCCTGTGGAGCATCTTGGTAACACCATTAGCCTGTTGAAGGGCTATTTTATTTCCTACTTTAATATTTTCTTTGGGGATCTTTGCTTCTACTACCCCTATGTTTCATGGACTGTAGAAAATAGGATGCAGAACACCTTACAGGTGGTAGGTGATGCTTATTGAAAAAAGCTCACAGAAACATGGGAAATTATCAGTATCAACTGTTTTTCTTTGACAGATCTGGGTTACCTTCAGAACAACGTCAACAGAAGATTCGGGAAGGCAGTGCCACATGCTTGGCAGCTTTACTTCTTCCTTGGTTGCTCAGGTAGCTTTCCAATTACAGAGATCTCAGAAGTAGCAATACAGAGCTTAAGGAGTTGGTGTCACCATGTTACCGGTTGCACTTTTAGGTCTAGTTTGTTCATAGAATCATAGAAGGGTTTGGGTTGGAAGGAACCTTAAAAACCATCTAGTTCCAACCCCCCTGCCAGCAGCAGGGACACCTTCCACTAGACCAGGTTGCTCAAAGCCTCATCCAGCCTGGCCAACATCCTTGTTGTGCCAAATCAACACATTATGCCTGTAAATTATAGCCAGGCCCATCTATGTTTCAGTATTTTTGGTGCTTTTGGTACTTTAAGCATCTTGAAGTAGGCTAAGTGAGTCCCCAAGGGCAGGCAAGACAGAGTCACAGTATCTAAGTAAAGCAAAAGAACATCTCAGATCTGATCTGCAGTGACTAGTTTTGCTTAAAGCCAAGTTTGTAACCTCATGCTGGCAAGGGACCCACTCCCCTACACCATGAGAGAACATTAGCTGGTAACCCTAAAAATGAAAGACAGTTCAGGACATCACCTAAGCTCAAAAAACCCAACTTTTCTTGCTAGATTCTGAATATTCCTCCTTTTGATTGAAGTTTTGAGTCAGCTGACACGCAGCCCAATGCAATTATTACCTCTGTTGCGTTTCCCCAGATTTCACACGTATGCGTCTGATATGCAGTTCCTGGGAAGACTTCGCAGGCCGATACCAGTAGCTCTTCAGCTCTTTCCATAGATCATACCATGACTGAGATGTTCCCTCCCAGGTGAGCTTTATTTTTAAAAGTTCACCCATGTCCTCTTCAGTATAGACCAGGAATGTGTTAGTAGCATTTAGGCCAATTTGATCAAGCCTGAAAGACAAGCAGAGACTCAACATTTCTTCCTTATGGAAGCATGCCAGATGCTCATTCATGCCATGCAAGAAGTTAAACAGAGCCCTTTGCAGATTATCAAGTGCTCCACGTTCAACTGTCACCACTTAATTACGTAATTAAACTAAAGAAAGTGAGCTTGGATAGCTGGCTCAAGACAATGCACCATATACTTGGCTCAGTCATCCTTCCATAGCTTAAAGGTGAATTTCATGCCTTGTGTTTCTTCTGGGAGAGGCTAAAGGAGGTCAACAATGCCTCCAGAGATATGGGCACTTCAGACTGTATCCAAATGGTAGAGGGGAAAAGTAAAACAAAATACTTCAACAATGAGCTGTGAAGACTAATATGAAGAGGACTGTAGCTGAAGGGGCTCCAGGAAGGCTGGGGAGGGACTTTGGCCAAGGGCAGAGAGTGACAGAACAAGGGGTGATGGCTTGAAAGTGTCAGAGGGGAGATGGAGCTGAGATGTGAGGAAGAAATTGTTTGGTGTGAGGGTGGTGAGCCAGTGTCCCAGGTTGTCCAGAGAAGCTGTGGCTGCTCCTCCCTGGAAGTGTTCTTGGCCAGGTTGGATGAGGCTTTGAGCAACCTGGTCTAGTGGAAGGTGTCCCTGCTGCTGGCAGGGGGGTTGGAACTGGATGATCTTGAAGGTCCCTTCCAACCCAAACCACTCCGTGATTCTATGACTGAGCACATCAAATTACTTTCTCAGCAATAAATTATAACTGAATTACTAGATGAAAAGTTTTTTGAACGTTGATGAAGTGAGGCTGCTGGGCTCAGGTGCAATGCTAGTCTTACCATAAGAAAAAGAATTATGCCACCTTGTCTACTCTCAGTGGCCTTCTTACTTAGGCAAACACAACAGGCCAGCTTACTTACATTTCTAAGGAGAGAGGTTCAGAGTCTCCATTGGTGCCATGAAGGGTGACAGAGAAAGTGGGATCAGCCTCTCCCAAGCTCTTGTAGCTGAAGACATGCATTTTCATCTGATAATGGTAGACTGGAGAGAAATAAGGAGAGGATAGATGAAACCAGCTTTGTTGAGACAACATTCCTCAGCATTGCTCTTTGTAAAGAAGTGCTGGCTGGCTAAGGCTAGACCCTGTATTTATTGAGGCATCATTGATCACTTTATCCTGCCCTTACTGACTACAAAGTTGACATTTATACAACAACAGCAGGTCCACTGGGGGGGACCTTACACTGGGTTGGGGTGGTCTTGCAAGTATGATTTGTAAACTGTAGTCCTGCTCAAAAGGCAGAGCGCAGAGTCCTGTTGGCTTTACATGGAGGAAGGAGCACAGTAATGCCACAGGACAGCAAGGCAGCCAGGTAACAGCAAAAAAACCCAACCAAACCGTAACAGCAAAAGACTAATGCCTGGTGCTGTGCTGCTTCGAGGTGATGCTACTCTTCAATCCCTGCATCTTTCCCAACATTGCATTTTGGGAGTGTCCTCTCAGAGATGACAACTATGCTCTTTTAAGAGGGAAAGCCTACCTTTGAATGGCATGTCAGCTCTTGTTTTTAAGTACATCTTGCTGTTCCTTTTGTTCCGTGTTTTCCTGGCATTGTAGCCAATGCCATTGCAGCGGTTCTTCCGGCAGCTCAGGCAGATGCCCTTCTTGAAGCGACTGGAATCGGTACATTGAAAGGCGAAGCTTTGTTTGTCTTGGTTCACGAGGGAGTCCACGAAGAGGTGCACAGACCGCTCATGTTCACATTTAACAACTTCACCAATTGCTAGAGAAGCAGAGTTGCAAGGGTTACATTTTGTTTAACCATTTGTCGTCGCAGCAGCTGGTAAGATGTAGGGAGCTCCACCTTCTTGCAGCCCAACGTGAGTTGAGCGTGGCCAAACTTGAACATTTTTCTAACAGTAGTAATTCAAGAGGTTACTGGAAGACACTTGAAGAGGACTTGCCACTTAGTGTCTACCATAAAAAGAGATCAAAGAGGATTCTAGATCCAGCGTAAGATGACTATAGTTTACAATCAGGTGTTAGAGTAAGAAGATGCTACTTTAGATTTAAAAGCAGGTCTAGTTTCTAGCAACTATCTCCAGCAGTACATACAGTTTAGAAGGAAAAAAATCATTCTCTGCCTTTGCAACTCAGATCATCCCCCAGCATCAACCCAAGTCTACTTGTGAGGAGTTTACACTGACAAGAAGCAAAGCAAGTAATAAGAACTTACTTCCATAGGCGATTGCTCCCAAGACATCACTTAATCCACAGCCAGGCTGGAAGTCTCCCCCATTGGGGTAGATGTCAACATGGCCTACAGGCATCTGGATCCCAATGCTAACACCTAGTGTTTCCCTTGTGTAGGTGTGAAGGACATCCACAAAGTTAGCATCATCAGGGGAGAGGCGCTTGCTAGGGTCCACTCCTTCAAACATAGGGCCAGCCGGATCCAAGCCTGGTGTCACAGACAGCACACAAGATGCCAGGTAAGAAATTGGGTTATTTCATACAGAATATGAAATATTCTGCCAGCAGCCCTCCTAACCAAGCACTACACAGACAGTCCCTGCCTCATTGCTGATACTGCCCCTCAAGATCTCTTCACCATGGGCTCGCTGAGGGAACAAATGAAGATGTCCCATACCACTTTTGGTGCCATACCACCCAGTAGTACCAACAGTTTGCTCTACAGCAATGGCTTTAGATTGCCTGTTGGAAGCAATGATTCTGCCAGGTCACAGTGAAGAGATAATTCAAGAGGTAGTAGATGACTGAACACCAGAAGAGGTTTGGCACCTCACAGAGGCTGCTGGAAGCCAAAGCTGCCTTGGTGACATTTAGTCTATTTTCAGACTGGACATATGGAGGGACTAATACAAGTTTAAGCAGCAGCCAGGTAATCCCTGTGTCTGAGATCCCATGATGGATCTGGGACATTCTGTTAACCTCTGAGCCTCGCCCTGAAGGTGTGCTCCTGAGCCATTCCCCAGCTTGACCGTTAGGTGATTTTTACTGCTTCACCAAATACAGATATTTATTGCCAGGCTCTGAGGAGTCCTCACTGCCACTGTCACATTCAAATGCTTCATGCAACCCCTTTTCCCATGCCCTAAGTTCTCACATGTTGAAATCAGCTTTCCTCTGGAGTCAGAAGCACTCTCCTCAAGATATTTTCCAAATGAGGGGTTGGGATTTTGGGATTTTTTCAGGTTTGGGGTTTTTTTGGGTTTTTTTTTGAACAAACATCCCGTGGGATAAACTGCACCGAACAGCTCTCACTTCCATTAGTTTATGAGCTACAATTACAGAATCAGCATCACTCTGAGGCTTAGGATTTGGATAGTAAGAGCTTGAGCTGAACTTGTTTTGAACCCACATTTAACTCCAAATATACTCCAGATCAGGTTGTCCTCTGAAAGGTTTTTCAGTGAACCTCCCCTACATTTGGGGTTCAAAATTAAGATACTTTCTCATGTGAAGAGTCCCATGCTCCCCACTGCCACCAGTGGTAAGAAACTTGTCATTTCTGACTGAGAAAGCCCAAAACAACATCGCAGAAACACAGGAAACAAAGACTCTCTGGGGAAACTCTCTGCTGCTAAGGAAAGGTAAGAGACTGCTTAAAAAGCCACCTGCCTGTAATTCTGCCTATTGTCCCATGGACGTGGTTACCAGCAAAGCCAGCGACGTGGGCACCAAGGCTGTACCCAATGAGGTGGACATTCTCAAGATGGAAGAGTGGGTTCTCCTGCAAGGTAAAAAAAAAAAAATAAAAAAAGATAATTTGCCCTCCTGTCTTTCAGGACATCTGGCACCACTCCTGTCTGCAGGACTCTAGTCCAGTTCTAAGAAGAGATTGGAGGGAAGGGGCAGACAAGCATGTATTGTTCTTTATTTCATCAAGACAGGTTGAATAGTTTGGATGGCACTTGTGGAGTGTCCCCAGTGACAGTACCCAGCTTTCAGCCCCAAAGATGACACACTTTGTTTAAGCAGCACCTGGAGCAGCTTTTCCCCCAAGGAGCCACCAGCAGACCTCAGTGCTGGCCATGGACTCAAGTCCCAAGTGTAACACCATGGGCCTTTTCCTTCTCCTTTTCCACCCTCTTGCCAAACCAACACTGCCTTGGAATGCTCAACTCCTGAATTCACATTGCTCAGACAGGAGGAAGGACTCCTAAATTTGAAGTCCACTGATGGGACATCACTGATTCAAGCAGCATCTCTCAGGAAAGCACCGCAGCACTCACTCAGGCAAGAGCTGAGAGCAGCACCTTAGCTGTGAGCCATCACCCCACCGAGCCTTGGGGTTTGGATTACACCAGAGCCATCCCCACTGGTGAGCACTGGAGCTGGTGTACGCTCCTTTTCCTTGTGCAACAGTCCCTCACGGAGCGTTACGACAGAGACTGTTCCCAACTCGCGGTACCTGTAACCAGTCAAGCAGCCTCGCGATGCTTTTTCCAACAATCTGGGTGTTGTTCACAGCATCGGTGTAGAGCTGGTGGGCAAGGGGAAGCCAGTCCACCACAACCACGTTGGCATCCTTCTCCCTCTCCTGAAGAGCAGATACCAAGCTCCCCAGCCAGGTTTCAAACATGCCACTCATCTAGAAAGAGATTCAGGTGTTAGTTCCCAGCTCGTAGAACCCAGCTTATATGCTTGCAATTATTTGCATATCATTTACATACTCTGCTCCAGCTGCATGCAGCTCTTCTGCAAGCCCCACTACTTCTCTGCCCTGCTCTAATGGTGTAGGAAAAACAGGTTTTGAGAGACTCTGGATGTAATTAGCCGCCTTGCCTTTTAAGGCAGGAGGGAGAGGCATTTGTTACACGCCACCTTATCGCTCTTTTTTTTCCTCTCAAGAGTTTCAGAAATTCTAATGGATTGCAAAATTAATTTCCAGTCCTGGCACCACCGTTTGCATAAGTTGATAAGTCCTCTAGTGCCACACACTCTGCCACATCAAATGCAGAAGAAAAGCTCGATAAGGTCTGCCCGCCCTCTGTTTCTTTATCGAGGAGTCCACGTAGCAGAAGTGAAGGCTGTGGATGCACAGCTGAAATTATAGAAAGTTTGTATGTGTGTCAAGCCAAGTGCCACCTGCACGGGGGTTAGTTAGCTGGATTTTAGGGAAAAAAAATATAAAAATCTCAATTTCCCTTTACCATGTTCACATGATACAGCTATGAAGTGATTTGGAACAGTTGAGTGATTTCACAGAATGCTGAAGTATCACCCACATCACTTTGCTCCAGACACCCCGGGTGCAGCTAAATCAGAGGTCATAGTGCTCAAAACATGAAAAGTTGTCCCAAATCCCACATATCCTAGAGATGCAGACCATTTACAGGGTGGTTTGCTCTCTCTACGTGGACAGACTGAATACTCAGCATCACCTAGAGCCGCGTGGGATCCTCCGAACTTACCGTCCAGCCGTGAATGATGAAGAAGGTTTTAGCTGTCACGTTGAACTTGCACTCCTCCAGACACCCGTGGTGGCCGATGGTGAGCGCACAACCCTCCTCTTCAGTGTCCGGCGAGGTGCGGAGGTGGAACTTCACCCGTGGCTTCGGTGCCGGCGTGTCCTCCAGCATCTCGGTGATGGTGGCATCTACAAACCCACGGAGCAGAGAGGAAGAAGGGTCAGCAAAGCGCTTCTGGGCTCCAGCCTCACCTGAGCGAGTGGAACCCGCTTTGCGGGCGCTGCTCCCTCCCTCCCTCCGTCCGTCC